TTTATTTATTTTAATTATAGCCATCCTAATAGGTGTGACTGGTATCTCATTGTGGTTTTGATTTGCATTTTTCTAATTTCTAATGAAGTTGAGCATGTTTTCATGTGCTTATTGGTAATTTGTATATCTTTGGAGAAATGTCTATTCAAGTCCTTTGCTGATTTTTTAATTGGGTTGTTTGTCTTTTTGTTGTTGAGCTGTACATGCTTTATATATGCTGGAGATTAAACACTTACAAGTTATCTGATTTACATATATTTTCTCCAGTTCTGTGGGTTGCCTTTTCGCTCTCTTGGTAGTGTCCTTTGAGGTACAAAAGTTTTTAATTTCAATGAAGTCTGTTTATCTATTTTTTTCATCACATGCTTTGGATGTCATATTTATGAAACCATTTCCATATCCAAATTCCCCTGTGTTTTCTTTTAAGAGTTTTATGGCTGTAGCTCTTAAACTTAGGTTTTTGATTAGTTTTGAGTTAATTTTTGTATATGATGTAAGGTAAGGGACCAGTTTCATTCTTTTACATGTGGATACCCCATTTTCCCAGCACTGTTTACTGAAGAGAGTGCTCTTTTCCTATTGAATGATCTTGCACCCTTATCAAAAATGAATTGACCATATATATGAAGCTTTATTTCTAGGTTCTCAATTCCTTTCCATTGGTTTATATGGATATCTGTATGTCAGTACCACACTGCTCTGATTACTGTAGGTTTACAGTAAGTTTTGAAATTGGCAAGTGCGAGTCCTCCAACTTTGTTCTTTTTCAAGACCATTTTGTCCATTTGGGGTCCCTTGAATTTCAATATGAATTTTAGGATCAGATTATCAATTTCTGCAAAGAAGCCTGTTGGAATTTTGATTGGTACTGCATTGAACCTCTAGATCAATTTGAGGAGTATGTCATTTTATTTTTTATTTATTTTTTTGAGACAGAGTCTCATTCTGTCACTCAGGCTGGAATGCAGTGGCACAAACATAGCTCACTGCTGCCTTAAATTCCTGGGCTCAAGCCATTCTCCTGCCTCAGCCTCCTGAGTAGCTGAGACTACAGGTGCATGCCACCTGTGCCTGGCTAATTATTATTATTATTATTTTTTTTTAGAGACACCTCCCAAAGTGCTGGAATTACAGGCATGAGCTACTAGACCTGGCCAATACTGTCATTTTAGCAATATTAAGTCTTCCGATCAATGAACATGGGATGTCTTTCCATTTATTTAGGTCTTCTTTAATTTTTTTCAGTAACATTTTGTAGTTTTCAGTGCACAAGTCTTGTGCCTCTGCAGTTAATTGTTTTCTAAGTATTTTATTCTTTTTGATGCTATTGTAAATGGAATTTTCTCAATTTCCTATTTGGTTTGTTCATTGCTACTGTACAGAAATATAACCGAATTTTGTGTGTTAATTTTGTATCCTGCAACTTTGCTGAATTCCTTTATTAGTTCTAACAGTTTTTTTGTGGATTCTTTAGGGTTTCTACATATAAGATCCAGTCATCAGTGAAGAGAGATAGTTTTACTTATTCTTTTCCATTTCGAATGCCTTCATTTCTTTGTCTTGCCTAATGGCTATGGCTAGAACTTCCAGTACTATGTTGAATACAAGTAGCAAAATCAGACATTCCTGTCTTATTTCTGTCTTATTTCTGATCTTAGAGGAAAAGCTTTCAGTTTTTCGCTATTTTTTTTTTTTTTTTTTTTTTTTTTTTGAGACGGAGTCTCACTCTGTTGCCTGGGCTAGAGTGCTGTGGCGTCAGCCTAGCTCACAGCAACCTCAGACTCCTGGGCTCAAGCGATCCTTCTGCCTCAGCCTCCCAGGCAGCTGGGACTACAGGCATGCACCACCATGCCCAGCTAATTTTTCCATATATTTTTAGTTGTCCGATTAATTTCTTTCTATTTTTAGTAGAGACGGGATCTCACTCTTGCTCAGGCTGGTCTCGAACTCCTGAGCTCAAGCAATCCTCCCGCCTCAGCCTCCCAGAGTGCTAGGATTACAGGCATGAGCCACCACGCCCGGCCCAGTCTTTCACTATTGAGTATGATGTTAGCTGTGTGTTTTTCATATGCGACCTTTTACCATGTTGAAGACGTTTCCTTCTATTTCTAGTTTATTGTTTGTTCATTTTTTTTTTTGATCATGAAAGGGTGTTAGCTTTTTCAAATGCTTTTTCTGCATTACTTGAAATGATCGTGTGCTTTTTTTCCTTGAGCCTATTAATGTATATTACATTGATTTTCATATATTAAACCACCCTTGAATTCCAGGGATAAGTCTCACTTGGTCATGATATCCTCTAATAGGCTGCTGAATTTGGTTTGCTAGTATTTTGCTGAGGATTTTGCTTTTTTATTCATAAGCACTATTGGTCTATAGTTTTCTTATCTTTGGCTTTGGTATCAGGGTAATGCTTGCCTTATAGAATGAGTTAGGAAGCATTTTACCTCAGTTCAATTAGGGGGAAGAGTTTGAGAAGGGATCAGTGTTAATTCTTCAAATATTTGGTAGAATTCATCAGTGAAGCTCTCTGGTCCTGGGTTTCTTTTGTTGGGACGTTTTAATTACTGCTTCAATCTCTTTGTAGGTCTATTCAGATTTTCTATTTTTTCTTGAGCAGTTTTGCTAGTTTCTGTGTTTCTAGGAATTTGTCTATTTCATCTAGATTATCCAATTTGTTGGCATACAGCTATTCATAGTATTCTCTTATAATCCTTTTTGTTTTTGTAAAGTCGACAGTGATGTCCCCTTTCATTTCTGATTTTAGTAATTTGCATCGTCTCTTTTTTATTTTAATCAATCTAGCAAAATATTTGTCAATTTTATTGATCTTTTCAAGGAGCTAATTTTGTTTTTTTTTTCTTTTCTCTATTTCATGTATCTCCACTCTGTCTTAATTTCCTTCCTTCTGCTAATTTTGGGTTTAGTTTGCACTTCTTTTTCTAGGTCCTTAAGGTGTATATTACTATTTCTTTTTAAACGTAGGCATTCACTGCTGTAAATTCCCCTCTGGGTACTGCTTTCACTGAATCCCATAAGCTTTGGTATGGTGTTTGATTAAAGTAGACTTTTTTTTTTTTTTAAGACTAGTCAAGTGCAGTATAGACTTTTTAAAAGAGCAGTTCGAGGTTCACAGCAAAATTGGGTGGAAAGTACAGAGCTCCCATTTACCCCTGCCTCCATACACCCACAGCCGTCCCCACGATCAACACTCCGCACCAGAATGGTACATTTATTAGGGGTGGGGAACTTGCGGCCTCAGGACCGCATGTGTCCCTCCAGATCCCCAAGTACAGCCCCTCGACTGAATTCAGACTTCATAGAACAAGTCGCTTTATTAAAAGGATTTGTTCTGTAAAATTTGATTCAGTCAAAAGGCTGCACTCAAGGATCCAGAACGCCACAGGTTCCCCACCCTGATCTGGATAATAATGAAGCATAGATTGATTGTAACAAATGTGTACCACTCTGGGGGAGGCTGAGTACATGGGGGCAGGAGGAAGATGGGAACTTTTGTACCTTCTGCTCAATTCTGTGAATCTAAAACTGCTCTAAGAACTTTTTTTTACTTCCATGTTCAAAACTTGTCTGACCTGTTCAACTTTCAGAGGAAAAGAAAAAAATCTTCACAGTCATTAAATTTACATTCAGTTGCTTACACATGTACAGGATTAATGACAAGAGAGATCCTCCTTTGGTAAAATATGGCTCCTTCCTGATGAACAACCCAACTGTGCTACTAACAGCGAATCTGTTATCAACACACTCCTGTGGCAGAGTGGAAAGAGCAAGGGCTAATGTGTCAGAATGAAGTTCAAATCCTAGCTGAAGCACCTGACACTCTCATTCCTTGGACCAATTCCTTAATCCCTGGGAACTGCCTTCTTATTTGTAAAACAGGGTTGCTACTTTAAAAATAATGTTACTTAAAAATGCCTGGGATGTAGGCATCCACATAATGTTAAGGGAAAATACCAAGATATTGTTTCCATGAAAAATATTACATACACAAACCTCAACTAAATGTTAATAGTCTTCTGGCTGTAATAGTATAGGTAATTACATTATTCAAACTTCTATCTTCTAAATTTCCTTGTTATTTCCTGAACATTACTTATGTTCGGGAGATAAACACGTTTTAAAAAAAGCATAGTACATGGCCAGGCGTGGTGGCTCATGCCTGTAATACAGGCACTCTGGGAGGCTGAGGTGGGAGGACTGCTTGAGTTTGAGACCAGCAGGAATTTCAGACCAGTCTGGACAATATAGTGAGACCTCATTTCTTAAAAAAAAAAAACAAAAACATAGCACCCAAACTGTAGAAAAGAATATTTTATTGAAACAGTTTTTCAATTAACAATGGAGCAAAGTAAAATTTGACTCAAATCTATCCAACCAGCTTCAACTGCTAATAAAAGAACTCAAACATACACGGGGTGGAGAGGGTGGGGGTGGGACCCTTAAGTCCCATCTCTGCCAATGTGGCAAAAAAAAAAAAGAGAGAGAGAAAAGACAAAATGACTGACACAACTAGGTTTGCTCTTGTCCTGGAGCTGGGGTGGCAGCCCTAGCTCCTGCTACCGGTGGAACACTGGAGGACGGGCTCTCTAGACATCGGCATGGTGGTAGGGGCCCGCCCCCCATCCTAGCAGAGCAATGGAAGGCCAACCCTGACCTTCTTCCTTTACCCACAAGGCCTGCCTCAAAAAGAGGTGGCATTTTTACATTCACACCGTGGTGGTCTCTCCTTCCCCCAGGGTCTTGCGATAGGGGCTCACAGTAGAAAGCACATTTTGGTCAGCCCAAGGGGCCAGGGGATGTGAGAAAGCTCTGTCTGGGAAAGGCAGGACAGCAGGAGAGAGAAGGGGGCAGGTAGTCAGAGGAACCTGGGATGCCAGGCTACGGGGAAGATGCAGATTTTGACAGAGCCTGCGGGATGCTGGCATCCTGCACCAACCATTCCCGGTGGCCTTCCTGGGCCTAACAGCCCACAGGTGGGAGCTCCAGGGCTGTCACACATGGCATTCACTGGAGAGGCGGTGGATTTCCTTCTTCACTTTGTCCCTGCCTATTCTGGCCGCTAGGAGTTGTATAAGCAGGTGGGAATACTTCTACGTTGACTTCAGCCAGTCCAGATGGAAGGGCTTCGGGCAAGGGGCAGAGAGCTGCCCAACTCACAGCAGGAAGCCAAAGAAACCCATGGGAAGAGGGGCCAGATGGGAATGGGTGGGTGGGTGAGGGTGTTCAGGGCAAGAGAAGACCATGAAGGGAGAAAAGAACATAGATAGGCACTCAGAAACCAAACCTAGTAACCGAGGCCCTGCAGACACTGGCCTGAATGGAACGTTGCTCTCACGGTGGAAGAGGCAAGGAGAGAAAGAAAGGTCGGAGAAGACAGGGGACTCCGCAGTATCCCAGGACATCCTTCCCACCACCAGGTCTCAGTCAACCACTGACAGCCATTCTCTCGCCTACCCACAGGCAAAGAGTTAAGACATAATAGTGATTTTCCCCAAATCTAGGGCCTAGATGGGCAGGGAACCAGGGGATGGGACTGGGGAAGAGAACAATTTCAGTTTTTAACCACAGAGCTACTGCGGAAGGAACCAGTGAGAGCTGTCCCTTCCTTTCCTTCCCCACACCTCTAATCACAGGTGAGAGAAAAGGACTCGAGCCCCTGAGGGCAGGACCACCCCCTTCCCCCACCCTCCATGTTTAATAAATAGCGGTGGTGGGAGAAGGGGGTGGAGACGAATGGGGAACAGGAGGCAGGGGTTATAGTTCATCGTTCTTCAAAGGCCGCTTCTGTCCTGTCGGCTGCTCCTTCTGTTCAGGTTCTGTTGGGAGGTGGGGAGAGCAAAGGGAGTAACAGCAGGTGAAACAGAGGCAACTTTGCAGTTCTTTGCAGAAATTCCCCTCAGACCCCACGGGGCTTCCCAGCACACCCCAGCCCCACTCTCACCTGCTCCGGGACCTCCTAGCTCCAGAGGCTCAGTGTCCACTGGTTCAGACTCTGCTTTGGGGAAGGAATAGGTTAGTCCTTGCAGAAAGAAGAGGCTAAGGGAGGGGCTGGCCAACTTTTTCTGTAAAGAGCCAGCTAGTAAATATTTCACGACGTAGGTCACATTTGGTTTCTTTGCCTATTTTTTTTTTTTTTTTTGAGACAGAGTCTCACTGTGTTGCCTGGGCTAGAGTGCCGTGGCGTCATCTTAGCTCACAGCAACCTCAGACTCCTGGGCTCAAGCGATCCTCCTGCCTCAGCCTCCCGAGTAGCTGGGATTACAGGCATGCGCCACCATGCCCGGCTAGTTTTTTCTATATATTTTTAGTTGTCCAATTAATTTCTTTCTATTTTTAGTAGAGACAGGGTCTCGCTCTTGCTCAGGCTGGTTTCGAACTCCTGAGCTCAAACAATCCACCCGCCTCGGCCTCCCAGAGAGCTAGGATTACAGGCGTGAGCCACCGCGCCCGGCCTGCCTATTTTTTTTTAACAACCCTAACATCCTCAGCTCATGGGCCGTCCAGAAACAGGCCGTGCCTGCCAGTCTGCCTACCCCTGGGCTAATGCAACACCCACGTTCCCAACCATGGCTTCCCCAACTCACGCGTCTCTGCTTTCTCAGGTTCTAAAATGGGCTTTGCATCTTCAGTCTGGCCTGGAAGGAAACCAGGAGGAAGATGTAGCCCCAGGAGGGAAAGGCGACCTTCTCCCTGCCCAGCAGAACCTGGAGCCAGGCACTCGGCCTCACCTGCTGGCGGGATGACCTTCTCCGCCTGGTCACTGGCATTGAGGGGAGGCTCTGCCCGGGTCCCATTCTTGTCCTTGGGCCTAGGCCGGGGCTTAGCAAACTTGGCCTTATTGAGCAGATACTGCACCTCCCGGTCCAGGGCCATCATCTTGGCCTCGATGTCTTTTGAGAGCAACACGGGCTTCTCTGTGGCGGGAAGCTTGGCCTGCTCAGCCACAGTCGCATTCTTCCAGGCCTGTGGGTGAGACCGGGATAGGCTCCGAGCTAGCCGTGGAGAGAGCAGACATCTCTGTCCCAGGTGGAATCACACCCCCAACCAGCCTAAGGCTCCCTGCTCAGACTGCAAATCACTCTGCCGCCCCTGACCTCAGCCCCGGGGGGTGAGCAGACTCCTCAGAGAGCATTCACAGTTCTCCACGGTGGAGTCCCAAACTGCTCACTCGACTCCTCGTTGCTGCCTTACATCCTGCTACTCCACAGTGACTACAGCTGAACAAACCCCTGGATTATTCCTTTCTTACCTCTCGACTTCTGAGTTCTGGCTCTAAAAAGGTCCCCACACATCTCAAGAAGTTTCTGTCTCACTCAAGTCCATCTCACCTAGCCAAACCCTGGCCCATCTTCTGAAGCCAGCTCAAACCCCAGCTCCCGAAGCAGAGTTCTCTCCCGGCACGGGGATGGGCTCTGCTGCTCCTCCAGTCCCATGACTGTTATGGCTGTGGCCCTTGTTTGGCACAAATCAAACGTGGGCTCAGCTGCCTTCCCAACTGCGTGCTACACTAGGAGGCAGGGGCCGCTGTGGCTCCACCTGCACCTCTCCCACACAGCCTAGGATGGCACAGGGCGCCCGCTACCTATCCAGGTAAGTATCCACACAGTGACTACCCAGGTCTCATTGATGACTTTCTCCAGCGTTGTCATCTCCACCTCAGTGAAGATTTGGTCCATCTCTGGGATGAGTCGGGCCCCCCTGGAAGTGAAAGAGGAGAAAATCAGCCCCCGAGGAAGGAGCCTGGGGTGCAGGGAACGGGAGTCAGCGGTGTTGGCAGGACTGAATAAAGGCGGAAGAAACAGGCACCGCTCACTTGAGGAACATGCTGGAATGGTTGAGGAGATTATCGAGGGCAGACAGCCGTTCGGGCCACTTCTTGCGCTCCTCCACCCGAAAAAACAGCCCGTGGCACAGCTTCTTCAGCTCAGTCAGCTTTTCCTTCAACATCTGGCGGAAGTGGGATGAGGCAGAGGGGTTGAAGGGATGACAGGAGAGCCTGGGGTCAGCCCCACGGCCCTCTCTGTGGGCTCGTGTCCCAGTTCTCCTCACTCTTGCCCTGGGAGAGGAAGGAGAGAGCTCCCATCCCACCCGCCATGTCCCGGGAAGCCCCTCACCGCCGTGGTGGCCCCAAAACCCTCATCCTCCAGCCAGGTGGACGTGGCACTGAGTTTCCCAGAGATCTCCTCGCGCTGTTCCTCCGTGGACACTTCCTGGTACTCGGGCTGGTAGAGCTTGTCCTAGGGAGGGACACACAGACAAGCGCAAGCGTGCAGTCAGCCCAAGGGCAAGGCTCACAGAGCCAGATGCCCCAAAGCACAAGCCCCAGGGCCGGGGGTGCTGCCTCCCGGCCTACTGACCTGGGTCTCAAAGATGAACGCTTCCAAGCTGTTGGCAGCTTTCTCCCGTTCCTGCTTCTCCAGGTCTCGGAGTGTCAAGTCCTGAAGTCTGTGGGACAAAGGAGGGGCAGGGAAGAGGGAGGGCAGGTTAGAACTTGGACGCTGTGTCAGATGGCTCTCCGTCCCAGGGGGTCATCCCACAGCCTGCCAGCCTACACACACACATGTGCGCGCACACACGTGCACACACACACTGGCTGTCTTTACTTACTTCTGCATGGAGCGAGCCAGCTCATCCTCTGGCAAGTCAGGCAGGTCCAGAACAACCAGCTCCACCCCGATCTCCTCCACCATTCTCTGCTTCCTGGCAGGCTTCTGCTTCTTTTCTTCCTCTGGGGCTGAAGGGACAACCTCAGGCCCTGCCGCCCCCTTTTCACTTGGCTTCTGGGTGGGAAGAGTCAGGAATGTCAGGAAAAGCCTCGGCCCTTCTACATTCACTGCAGGGCACGAAACAAAGTAGGTGCCCACTCCCTTAGCCTCTGGGTCCACGCTGGCCTTACTGTCCATGGCTCACCTGGGCCTCAGCCTTGTCCCCATTTTCTTCTTCTGGGGCCTTTTCTCCCTCAGGGGCTGTGTCCCCCTTAGGCTCAGCGGGTGGGGGCTGAGAGGTATCCTCCACTGGGGCCTCGCCTTCCTCCTTGAGCTCCCCTTGCTCCCCAGGCTCGTCCTTGCTCCCCTCTGCAGGGCTCTCCTCCTCCTCCTGGGAAGCAATCATAGGCCCGCGTAACAGTCACAGGCAGAGCCCCTGGCTCTGCTTTGAAGGTGTGCACCGCCCAGCATACAGCTTGGGGGTAGACAGGTGACAACTGTATGGAGGTGGAGAGTGGGCTGTGCGGACTGCAACAGAGTTGCTGGACAAAGGGAGCGCACCTGGGGACGAGGGGAGTGGGCCTTGGGAGCACAGGTACAGGGAACCGCTCAGAGCCCAGAGGAGCCCAAGGAGCGTATGGCTAACTTGGCATGGGCTGAGAGGTGGGGGAGGCCCACCCCCACTCCCTCTCCCTGCTGCCACCACACGCCCTCCTCCATGCTCTCCTGGCTCCATCCTGAGCTCACCTGGACAGTATCAGTGCCGTTCTCTTTGGCCTCTGGTGTGGTACCACCTCCAAACAGGCTGGAAATGGTGTTGCCAAGTTCTAGGGGAGAAAAAAAGCCCAAAGACTCAAAAGGGGACTGTAGCAGTGACTCCGCCTCCCCACCCAGGGGCAATGCCCCGTCCACCTGTCCACACTGCACACAAGCGTATTCTCACACACGGACACACATCGTGCACATGCTCATCTTACTGGTAAGGGTCGATTCCTCTTCTGGGCTGTCCTCCACCAGCGTCTCAAATACAGACTCCACCTGAAAACAGGTTCAAAGTGAAGAAACACCCTCCTGAAGTGGGGTCTGCTTATGCATACCCCGTGCCTCGCAGCTGTGTAGGACGAGCTGCACCTGACTTTTCTAAGGACTCATGGATGGTCGCCCACCTGCTTTGACTGAGCCCTCGGAGCACAGGATCCTAGCTCCTCTTCCCCTCAGAGCTCTTCGCTTCTCCGCCCACTAATAGTCTGAGCTGTCGTTTCCCACACTATATTCTAAAAGACACTAATCCCCAGACCTGTTCTTCAAAAATGGGTTCCTCAGCCATTCTATAGTTCCCTCTAAGAAATTTACAATGCCCTCAAGCATTTACGCTCTATGAGGCGGCTCACACCAGATCACTGCTTAGCTCTGTTTAGAGCCAAGATTTATCTGATTCTCAAACCCTTTCTGGTGATCATGTCCTAATACCACATGGAACTTGCTTTGGAAAAGGCTGGCAGGGCCTAGGCCCTTGCCCTGCACCGGGGGTCCCCTTTTGCTCTCACCCTGTCTAGACTGAGCACACCACTCTCATCCAGGTTGAAGTGAGCCTTGATGCCCTTGGACTCGTAGTCGGGATGCTTCTTGAAGCTCTCGCCCACACCTTTTAGCTTCACCGTGGTCAGATTCTGGGAGCCAAATACTCTGGATGGGAAGGAAAGAGGAGTTCAAGGAGACCCACCCAGCCCATCTCCAACTCTAGACTACATGGCCTCCTGGCACAGACGTCAGGGCCCCCTCCCACGACACACCCAGGAGGATGGAACCATTCTCCAGAGAAGCTGCTTACAACTTAACCCTAACCCTGCAGCCCACTTCCCCTGTTTTAGCCCTGCGGGCCCCACCTCCTCCCTCACCCCTTGGGTCATCTGGCAGCCAAGCCTCCCCCTCCCTGGAGCTCCCATCTTACCCCCCCCGCCCCTCACCGAAGATCCTCAGGCCCCAGGAAGCCCAGGTCACCGTAGTTGATGTGGAAGTTGAAATCATGGCTATAGCGGTTAAAGGTGATGACTTTGCGTTGAGGGTAGGGCCCCATCCGGGAGAAGAGGACACGTTTATTGTGCTTCAGGCTGCGAACCCCTTCAGGCTCCTCCACCTCCCGTGTGAACTCCACCTACACAGCGGGCAGAGAGAAAGCACACTGGAGAACCAGGGCAGGTTCTCAGGTGGGGCACAGGGGACATCTCTTAGCAGAAAGATAAAGGCACGGGCTAAAGCAGAAGGGAAGATCCCACTTGGAGAGGTAAAGGGAGCTTGTCGCCTGATCAGTCAGGCTTACTCACCAGGATGGGGTAGACCACTGCATCGCGGACTACAAAGGGCTTCACCTTGAAGGCTTTGCTGAGTGCAGCTGCCTGGTACACAGCCCCCATGGCGGCTGCTTCGTCTGCGTTGATGTTCTTCCCTAGCTCCTCCCTAGGAAAGCCCCAAGCTTCAGCACCACCCACCCTGGAGCACCCAGCCTAGACTCCCTCCCCTGTAGCCCTGCCCCCCCACTCACTTGCCCACGGCCTTCAGCAGCACCTCCTGAACTTTGGGGACTCGAGTGGCCCCACCCACCAGGATCACCTGCTCAATCTCATCCTGCAGAGGAGGTAAGAACGAGGGGTGGGAGAGCACACAGTTAACCCTTCTCCTCAGCACTGACTCTACCCTGATGTCCCACGTCTCCTACCCTGTTCCCCACCGGGCAGCACCCCTCCCCCTGCCGCCTCACCAAATTCATTTCGGCACTCTGGAGGGCCTGCTGCACCGGGCCAGGTACCCGCTCAAACAAGTCTGCACACAAATCCTCAAATTCCACTCGAGTCACTTTTGCCTTGAAGTCCACATCATCCATCAGGCCCTCGATCTGGGGGAGGATGAGGAGTGTCAGAGTTCTCACCCAGGTTCTGCTCTCTGGGTGGGCAGGACAGAAACCAAGGGAATAGGACTTAGGGAGGATGGCAGAGGGACACGAAGAATGGAATGGGCCATGTCAGGCACAAGCAGCCCAGCTGATAGGCAGCAGGGTCCTCCACCCTCTAGGTGGGATGAGCTTGCCCTCAAACCAGCCACATGCGGGCACCTGTGCCATGTGGTCAGCGTTGGCACTCAGGATGGTTTTGAGCCGATTAGCCTCACGCAGCAGCTTGGCCATGGCACGAGGGTTCTCCCGCACGTCCTTTGCCCTCTGGCCCTTACGCTGCTCATTGAAAAGCCCAGCCAGGTGCTCACGCAGCCGGAGCTCCATCTCAAGGCCTCCCAGGGTGCGGTCAAACCTGTTCAGAAAAGGGAGAAGAAAAAAACGTGAGGCACACATAGGGTCCCAGCATCTGCACAGCAGCCTGTCATCCTCACAGGGCACCTTTCCCCTGCTTTGGGGGACCTTGTCTACCCCAATGCCCCAAGTGTGGACACACACTCTATTCTCAACTCATCACAGCACAGCTGACATCTCACAGTGACAGTTCATCTACCCAATCATTCAACAGTATCAGCATCAATTATGTACTTGTCTTTGGAAACACAAACGTGGTAGGGGGAAGTGGGGAGAGACAGGGTCTCTGAGGCCAAAAAGCTGAATAACTACATAAATGTGAACTTATAACCACCCCGTGATTATAAAGGTGTGGTAGACAATGCTAGTAGAATACGTGCATGGGAGATTTGAGCTATTGAGCAATGTCCAGGGAAGCTTCCCTGAAAAAACGATGCTTGAACTGAAACCTGAAAGATGAGCTGGAGTTAACTAGGTGGAGAGGAAAGAACGTTCTGGACAGAGGGAACAGAGCTTGTAAAGACTCTGAGGTGGGAGAGAGGACAGCAAGTTCCAAAGGAGGGCAAGTATCACTGGGGCTCAAAGAGCAAGAGTGCTCAGGGCTGGAGATAGCTGTGGGAGGCAGGGCTGAGACAGGTACAGGGAAAGTTTTGGAGTCACTGAAGGGTTTTTAAAGAAACAGGTCATGATCAGATTGGCATTTTAAAAATAACCCTTTGGCTGCAATATGGAGAAAGAACTGAAAGCAGACATCACTAGGAACAGGGAGATCTTTTTTAATTCTGCAGGTAAGAGGTGACAGTAGCTTGGACAAGGGTGGTAATGGTGAAGATGGACAGGAAAAGATGGGTTCAAGAAATAAGACGACAGTGATAAGTTATTTAAGCGAACTGTAAATGACAGGAGATCAAAAAAATGATTGAATCTGACACCCCACATATGGCCTGCAGCTTTGTGGATTTCCTTAAGTTCAGGAAATTCCCTGCCTTTCAATCTTCCCAAACTGTCCTCCTCTTCTCTCCAGGTTCCCCTGACTCTTTGTGAGTGGTCCCCCACGATGACTGATGCTTTATCCAGGAGAGCATTCCTGCAGGGAGCAGGAGAGTGAAGCATTCACTCCTCCAAGAAGAAACCCTTGATCCAAGGGTCTTAATAAGAAGCCCTCCTCCTAGCACCTGCTTACCCCACTCCCCGGATCTGCAGCTGTGGCTGCATCCCAGCTTCCTTAGTCTTCACGGTCTGGTAGGTCACAATGGTGCACACGGTGCTGCCTGAGCCCATGTCATAGAACATGATATTCTGCAGAGACATTAAAGCAACTGTCACAGGAATCTTATCAAGCTGCAGGGGGCATGCCTGCCTTCAAGGGGCTGTCTGCCTCTTGATGTAAAGCCGAGCAGCTACAACAGGGGCTGAGAAGAGACCATTGCTGCATTTTTCCAAGGGCCAGCCATGCAAACAAGATGCAAAACAGGCCTCATAGCCTCCATCCTCAGACTCAGCCACCCTGTATGTCTGGTCAGGAGGCCTCCCTGGCTCACCTGGGCAGTGGTGTTGATATCTTTCCGGCGGAAGACACCATAGCTGAGGGCGGTGGCAGTGTTATCATTGATGAGCTGCAGCACTTTGAGGCCAGCCATGCGAGCAGCCTGCAGCACAGCTCGGCGCTCAGCCTGGTTAAAGAAGGCTGGCACGGTGATCACTGCGTCCTTGATGGGCTGTTCTACAGAGGACAACAGAACAGGGTTCCACCAGCTCCGTATCTTAGATGAGTGTTTCCAATCTTGACACTACTGACATTTGGTGGCAGATATTGTTTTGTTTTTTTTTTGGACACAGGGTCTTGCTCTGTCACCCGGGCACACTAGATGCCCCAGTTGTGACAACCAAATATGTCTTCCAACGTTGCTGAATATTTCCTGAGATGCTAAACTGCTCCTATTTGAGAATCACTGCCTTAAATCCTGGGGAGCCTGGCCACCACTGGCTGACCTGGCCACTCACCTGCAAAATCTTCAGCCAGGGAACGGGAGTAATTGAGAACCATGCCTAGCACCTCCTCTGGTGAGAACTGCATCTGCCTGAGGAGAGAGAGGGTAGGTGGAGACAAGGACAGCCAGGCATTAAGGCAGAACAATCACGAACACAGGGCAGTGATGAGCACAGCAGGGCTGCTAAGCCCACCTTCCCCAACAGAACACTCACGAGCTGATCTGGAAGTACACAGTCTGCCTCTGTGGGTCAAAGCTTAGCTCATGCTCCGGGAAACGGGTCCGGTAAAGGGCCACATGTGGGTTATCTGCCTGTTTCCCCAGGAGGTGCTGGAAGTAACGTAGCGTAGCCTTTGGATTCTTGATGGCCTGAGAGGCGAAGGAACAGAGTCTTAGGCTGCCAAGCCCACCATCACCTATCTCTTACATGACAGAGATGGGTAAGGAAACAGACTTTGGGGTCTACCATCTCCTTTCCTCTGCCCACCACTCTGGGAAGGGGAGCTGCTAGCTTACCATGCCCGCTGCACTGTCTCCAAAGAATCTTTCATTTTCTTTCAGGGTCACAGTCACTGGGGTTTTCCTCCGGGATTCCCTAAGGAAAAGAGACATTGGGCCCAGATGCCTGCAGCAGGGTGTGGACTCAGGAGCCTCAGTGCACGCGCGCACGCACACACACACACACACACACACACACACACACACACAGACACCAACATCAGCTGTGGGTCTATGAAGAGCACACACCCACCTGGAGCCCAGACTCCCTCATTCCCCACCCTTGACACTGGGGCCACCCTCACTTGTTCAAGACAATTTCCATGGGCACTCCAGGCTTGACGATGGCCACCTTCATGGATTCACTGCCCAGGTCCACAGACATCACTGCCAGCGTGTCTGGAAGGAAAACAGGTTTATCAATTAGCCCCCTTCACCTACCTTCCTGAGGCCCCTCTAATCAAAGCATACCACTTTCTGTGGAGAAACGAAAACAGAAAAAGGCAAAGAAAAAAGCCTGTGCACAGCAATCGAGAGACTTCTGTGTAGGAGCCTCATGCTCCCTTCCCACCACGTATCACTCACTCATGTTTTCTTTCAATCCTTCTGCTGGGGTACATACCACTCAGTGCCAGCAGGTCTGCCAAGAGCACAGCTATCACGGCCCAACAGGCTAGCCTCCTTGGCCTCTGCCTCCTGACTGTGGCTGCCATTGTGCCCCTGGGGGAGAAGGAAAAAACCACTTGTAACTGGATGCCCTTAGTGAAGGAAATAGAACCACATCTAAGAAGGGAGAAGCTGTAAGATTCATACCTACCCCATCCTCACACAGGGTAGAGCAGCCTACACCTCCTTCCCTCCCTCCTGATGAGTACCAACCACTCTCTAATCATCCCCAAAAGTGCCCACACAAAGGCCCAAGTGAAATAGTTCGGGTCCTCAGCTGCACCACATCCCTAAACAGAGAAGGTACTAGGACAAGAGACCAGAGCCTTCCGTCCACTGCACAGGCAGTAAGTGGTGCACAGTAGCACTGAGTCTGTCCTCAAGACACCTGGGGTGCGGCCAGGGATCCCCGCCCAGGGCTCAACTACTCCCCACACCTGGAGCTTCCTCGCTGGTGGGGAAAGGCAGGCTGGGCCTGGACGGGCACTGAGAGGTGATGACGTTGGGGGTGGCTGGGATGGAAGAAGGGCCTGTCTCCTCCTCGGCATCCCTGCGGGTTGTGCCGCCCACTCCCCTTTCCCAGCCCACTCCCCAGCCTGGCTGTGCACACAGACACTGTGCCGAGAGCAGTGAGGTTCCTCACGGGAAGGGTATCGGGTCCCCGGTGTTCACCTAAGCCACACCTGACGAAGGCGGCGGCTCCCACTCCCGGAAACGGATCCCGGCCCACCCCTAGCGCGTGGGGGCAGCCAGAGGGCCGAGCTGCGGGGCCCACAGTGCGTGGCCAAGCGCACCGGCATCGGTGCGGCCCTCACTCCCGCTGCCGACCCGCCCCCGGAGCTAGCACGCTGCCTCCCCTAGGAGGGGTGGCCGGCCCCCATCTCCATCCCCACCGCCGCTACCTCTTGCCTGCGCTCCTGTAACCCCAGCGGGGACAAACGCGGCGCGGACGTACCCACGAGGCCGGCAGCGCGCCCCACAGCCTGCGCCCTTCACAACTCCCCTCGGTTTGCAAACTGTTAGATTAGCCACCAACCTCTCGGCGGCGTCTCGCGCACCAGCCGGCCCCGGACGCGGCGCACGCTCATTGGAGCCTCAGCCGCCGGGCCCTGCGCCTCGCGCCCGGCCCCGCCCCCGCCGCCCGGCGCGCGTTCCCATTGGGCCACGTCCTGGGCCCGCCCCCTCCTCCTGCTCCGGCCCTGCCCGGGGGGCGGCGGGGGCCAGGCCACCAGTTGGGAGAAACTGCCGGCGCTGGCCGGGCATTGGACCACGTCACGGGGCCGGCGCGTTCCGCTCCCTCCTCCCCAGCGCCGGCCCCAGGGCGTCCGCGGGACCTCTTCCGGCCTCAGTGCTGGATGCATCACTGCCGGGGCTCGGGAGTGACCCGCGCCTGGAGCAAGTGGGGCGCACGGTCAGTCCCACAATCGGGTTTCTTCTTCCGGTCACCCGGGGAGCCCCAGCGAGGAATAGAAATGATGGGCATCCCGTCCGCAGCCACGCGGAAGAGGCGCTTGCTAACGGGTTGATTCTCAGCTGCCCTTGGCTTTGGATAGACAGAGAATGGCTGCGCTTCGAGCCTGGTCTGCCCGAACCGCCCTCTGTTTCATTGAGGAAACTTAAGCCACAAAAAATGTTCGCCGATGGATGAGAGATAACCAATGTCTTAGTGGCAGCATTTGGCCTGGACTCCTTACTCTAAGCCTCTTTTGTATGAGAAAGAATATTCCAAACTGTACAGTGCTACAAAAGATACTTTTGTTAAGCTATAATTGGTTGAACATATGTGCACTAGCTCCTATTTCTGTTCCATTAGATCTTGTATACCTTCCCTTCTCTAACTGCTCCTGTCACGGAGTTAAAGCACCTCACTCCCTCCTGTGTTACCTTACAGCTCCATAGAAATGTGCGCGGTCCTTGGAGAACGCACTTTTCTTAAATGTGAATGGACATCAGTCGCCTGTTTTCTCTCTCACTAAATCGATGCCTTGGTCTCTTTTCACGGAAGGCTCTCTTGAAGGCCCTGGCCCTGTCATGGCCCGGACTTTGTCAAACCTAAGCTTGTTTAAGGAACTTTATCTGTTCCTTTACCTTTTTCATTATAGGTAGGTGGAGAGATAGTAGTTGGGTGTCTCTGCTTAGAAGGGAAGCCTACCTACTGGCAGTACCAGGGAGAGTCTATTGTTCTTTCTTTTAAGAATATTTAGGTAGCAGGGAAGTTGGTAGAAATAAAGAGAAATTCGCTTAAAATTTTAACACAACTTAATTACACAAATAACACACAAATGTAATCTCGGAAAAAATTCATTCTAGATGAAGCTTAATCTTGACACCAACACAACCTCCCACTCTCTCCTCTGGAAGTAATTGCTGTTGTCAGAGTGGTGTGTAACCTGTCAGGCCTTTTCTATTCACACACATAAATGTCTCTCCAGAAACGTAGGGTTTTTTTTCATTTGTTGTTTGTTTGAGATGGAGTCTCACTGTCTCCCCAGCTAGAGTGCAGTTGGGGTCATGATAGCTCACTGTAGCTTCAGACTCCTGGGCTCAAGCGATCCTCCTGCTTCAGCCTCCCGAGTAGCTGGAACTACAGGCACAGGCCACCACACCCAGCTCATTTTTTCTATTTTTAGTAGAGACGGGGTCTCACTCTTGCTCAGGCTGGTGTCGAACTCCTGAGCTCAAGTGATCCTTCCGCCTTGGCCTCCCAGAGTGCTAGGATTACAGGTGTGAGCCACCGCGCTGGCAGAAACATGTACCTTTTATGTGGAGATGGAGGATCCCTTGAGGCCAGGAGTTCCAGACCAGTCTGGACAAAATGGTGAGATCCCACCTCTACAAAAAAAATTAAAAGTTAGCTGGGTGAGGCCGGGCGCGGTGGCTCACGCCTGTAATCCTAGCTCTCTGGGAGGCCGAGGCGGGTGGATCGTTTGAGCTCAGGAGTTCGAAACCGCGAGACCCCATCTCTACTAAAAAAATAAAAAGAAATTAATTGGACGACTAAAAATATATAGAAAAAATTAGCCGGGCATGGTGGCGCATGCCTGTAGTCCCAGCTACTCAGGAGGCTGAGGCAGGAGGATCGCTTGAGCCCAGGAGTTTGAGGTTGCTGTGAGCTAGGATGATGCCACGGCACTCTAGCCGGGGCAGCACAGTGAGACTCTGTCTCAAAAAAAAAACCACAACATATTGGATGACTTCAGATTGGGAGACTAAGAAAGTCAGTCTACCCTGCTGCTAAGAGAGCTCCCAACCCCAGAATACCCCTGGTGGGAGCATGGTTTACTGCAGCTGCAGGTCTCAGCCTTGGTATCTGTCCCCCTGGGAGGTGCAGCAGGTGCAAGTGCTCTGGGGAGTCACCTGTTTTGCTCTCTGACCAGACAGAATAGTATTTCACAAGAACAAGTTGTAGAACAAAGGGAAAACTTTAATGTAAAACCCCTGATTTAGATTGACTTAGGCAGGTGAATTCACTAGTTCTTGTCCAGAATAACTACGTGATGGGCTGAGGGCAGTGTTGACTAACTTCCAACCTGGGCCAGGAGAAGTTGTAAAAATTGTCACCGAGCCATCCCATTCTTAGGTTTATACCTAAGAAATGCCTATATATGTTCACCAAGAGTCTATTGGTAACAGCTTTATTCATAACAGCCCCAAATTGAAAATTACCCAAATGCCCACCAACAGTTGGAGGGATTAATGAATTGTGGTAGATTCACACTATGGAATTCTATACAGAAATGAGAATGAATGGTCTATTATTACACGGGACAACTTAAATGAATTCCACAAACATAATATTGAGTGAAAGAAGGCAGAGTACATACTGTATGATTTCACTTATATCAAGTTTAAAAGGAGGAAAAACTAAGCTATTTGTGACAGAAATCATGATGGTGCTTACCCTTGAGGGGAGGTAGTGTTTAGAAGAGGGCATGAGGCAAGTTTCTGGGGTGCTGGCAATGTTCTTATTGCTGGTTGAAATGGGTATGTCCAGTTAGTTTGTGGAATTTTAGAGGGCCATAGTATGAAACTTTTCTGTGTGTTGTTATACTTCAATAAAAAATTTTTGGCTAGACCTGGTTGTTCATGCCTGTAATCCTAGCACTCTGGGAGGCCGGGGTGGGAGGATCACTTGAGCTCAGGAGTTCGAGACCAGCTAAGCAAGAGCAAGACCCCTTCTCTACTAAAAATAGAAAAATTAGCTGGGTGTGGTGGCATGTGCCTGTAATCCCAGCTACTCGGGAGGCTAAGGCAGGAGAATTGCTTGAGCCCAGGAGTTCAAGGTTGCTGTGAGCTAGGCTAATGCCATGGCACTCTAGCCCAGGTGACAGAGCAAAACTCTGTCTCAAAAAAAAAAATTTTTTTTTAAAAATTATTTTGCCTGTGTCACATAAAAGACACTGGGTGTGATTTGCTGTAACTGTAGGCAGGGGGAGAGCCCATTTTCAGCAGAAGATGAACCAAGATAAGTTTTTTCTAAGCTAAGTTTCTATAACATTGTTTTTAGAATTACCAAAAAAATGTGGTTATTGAAGAAAACAGGAAGAACATTTTAAAAAAGGAAGAAAAACTGCCCACAGTTCCATTTTCCAGATTAAATAACTTTTAGCTTTATCATGTATATCAATCTACATACACTTTAAACTTTCATAGAGATAAGATTTTGTAACCATTTTTCATTTAATTTATTAAGAGCATTTTCTTTTGTCAAATTATATTTTTCCTCTGTAGAACTTTCAGTGGCTATATTTATAGAATTGTAGCATAGAGGAGTATAATAATTTATTTATGAAAATTATTATTTTTGACAATTAGGGTTTTTTTCTTCCTTGTGTGGAAATGTTTTCTTTCTTTTTTTTCTTTTTGCTATTATAAAACTGCTACAGACACCTTTACGAATAAATCTTTATGCAAATCTATTCTTTATAATCTATTTAGGATAAATTTCTAGAAGTGGAAATGCTTGCTCAAATTCCTGATTTTAGGCTTTTAATACATATTGCCTGCCGGGCGTAGTGGCTCTTGCCTGTAATCCTAGCACTCTGGGAGGCCGAGGTGGGAGGATTGCTTGAGGTCAGGAGTTTGAGACCAGCCTCAGCAAGAGCAAGACCCCATCGCTACTAAAAAAAAAAAAAAATAGAAAGAAATTATCAGGGCAACTAAAAATAGAAAAAAATTAGCCAGGCATGGTGGCACATGCCTGTAGTCCCAGCTACTCAGGAGGCTGAGGCAGGAAGATCACTTGAGCCCAGGAGTTTGAGGTTGCTGTGAGCTAGGCTGACGCCATGGCACTCTAGCCCACGCAACAGAGCGAGACTCTGTCTCAAAAAAAAAAGGAAAAAAAAAAAAAGAAAGGAAAGCAATATTTTTAGGGTTCTTGAATTCTGTGACTTCATGATCACACAGAACAATCACTCAGGCTTATGAACGAGTTTATGGACTTGAGTGTTTGTTCTTAAAAAGTAATGAGCCTGAGTGTGCTGGCTCACACCTGTAATCCTAGCATTTGGGGAGGCTGAGGTGGGAGGTCTCTACAAAAAATTATTTCAAAAAAGTAATTAAATTGAGCACCCAGAATACAGGACTTTGGGAGTTGACAGACCAGGGTTTGCCTGGGAACTCTACTACTTCCTACTTGTGTAACTCTAGGAAAGTTGCTTAGCTTTCCTGAGCTTCAATTTTCTCATCATTAAAAGAGGCATACTGGTATGTGCATCACAGGGTTGATGTGAAAATTAAAGGAGGCCAGGCACATGGCTCACACCTATAATCCCAACACTCCGGGAGGCCGAGGCAGGAGAATTGCTTGAGCCCAGGAGTTCGAGCCCATCCTGGGAACACAGCGAGACCCCATCTCTATGAAAAAATAAAAAAATTACCTGCGCATGGGTCCCAGTAGTCACAGCTACTTGGGATGAGGCAAGAGGATCACTTGAGCCCAGGAATTGGAGGTTGCAGAGAGTTATGATCGAGCCACTGTACTCCAACCTGGTCAACAGAGCAAGACCTTGTCTCTAAAAAAAAATTAAAAGAGGTAAAGTACTCAGCACAGTAATTGGGACCTACTAAGCACCAGATATATTTTAGTT